TCATGACCTCGTAGTAGGTCAAAGATAAGCCTTCAAAGGTCACATAAGGTCAACTGTTGACAGAGTTTCCGATAGCTGAGGGTCAAAGTAAGAATCTCTGACGTCACTCTGAGAAGTGCTGGAAGAATTACCTGCTGTCAATATTATAAAAGTTCCAGGTGCAAGAATTTTCGTGAATTACAAAAATGGAAAAACTTTTCGAATTAACCATTGGAATCTTCGGGCTATTATGTTGTCTGCAATTTGGTTCCACAGATTTTACAGGTAAAGTAATTAGAGTATCTTCACACGCAATGCTATAAAAATTTATAATCCAAAGAAGATTAGAAATAAATAGATGAATAAATACGAACAATCAAAAAATACCTTTTTGGATACATAGGCTATATCCATTTATTCATAAATATTCAAAAATAAAGCCACGAAGTCTGAATATATCGTATTCGTTTCAGCTATATCTTCGTATACTGAACTGAATTTGCTTTTTTTCATCAACTGTATATTACGGAATACTAGTATTTTGAAGAAAAAAATCCAAGGGATTATCTGAAAATTTCAAGCTCTTTTTTTTTAGGGGAGAATCATTATGGTCATTCTGAATATTTTTTAAAGACGTATCTAGTATTAGATACATGATAAAGAAATTCAGCAAAGATTGCTCGATTTATGTTATTTTCGATGAAGTGTCTGTGAATTTTTACACTTGCCCGATCACGACAATGACGGAGCACACGGGGGTGTGATAGGTTAACAGGGGGTGTCTACTTCTCCATGACACCTGATCCCACCTTGTTGCTTCAGAGGTCCGTGTTTACTCAGCTTCCAATTGTCTTTTAAGCTTGATTACAGTTAGATTTCAAATGTCTTCAAATTTTATTTTAGATGTAGACTGGTGTAAGGACAATCCTGATTTAAACTGCTGGCGATACGTAGATAAAAAATGTGTAGGATTTTATGAGGACTGGGCGAGACAAAACTGCCCCTTCCGCTGTGGATACTGCCCAAGTAAGTAGGCCAGGGTCAAGGACATTATCTCGAAATAATATTTTGTGATTTCTTTGGCAGAAAGAATTTTTTTAATTTAAGATACCTAAAATATTCCTAATGTGAATTTGACAATTTTTATACACAGCTCATCCCCCGTGTGTTGACACTGATACTTCCTGTGATGCGTACCACGCAGAAGCTTGTGCAGACGAAAACACCCGGGCTTACATGAGGGAACATTGCAGAAAGAGGTGCCACCTATGTCATTGTAAGTGAAAATTTGTAAGAGATTATTTCGCACCAACATTTACCCAGTCTCGGCGTACTCGCGGACGGTCTCATTTGAAGACTAATTTAATCTCCAAGTCTCGCACTGGGATTTGTATGCCCATATATGGTTTCGATAAATTCGATAATTTTAAACTGTCGAATTTTTTTATCGCGAATTCTGTAATTACAATTTTGTAATAAGGAATTCAATAATTTGTAATCACATACTCTAAAACGTACTATACACTATAACAAATAAAGTTCGTTATTGTGTTAAAAAACAAATTCTTTGATTTGGTACATGTATAATGAATTTAATTCGATAAACTGTTATATAGAATTCATACATATGACATATAATTCTATAGGCTATGGTTGTTGGATTTGATGGAACGAATTTATTTCCTTGTAAGATTTCAGAATTTACTTAAGCGAATTTTCATTCGTTATTATAACATTTTTACATTTTTAAACAACGAATATACAAGAAAGAAACTTTTATAACGTGTTAAATTCTTTATTACAAATTCGACAATTCAAAAATATTTTATGATATATATAGGTCCTAATTGGGCTTCCGTAAATTCGAACCCGCTTCAACACTTTACACCGCGACTCTAGAACAGTCGCTCTAACCACTACGCCAAGAGGGAGGTGTGGTTGTAATACATGCACATAATTATGTTGTCATGTATATCATAGTGTGTCAATGCCTTGTTGCACAATGTTTTGAAGCAATGACTCAAGTTTTTCATAGTTTATCAAAGCTGACTCTTAATTGCCAATTAATTACATGTAATAATTGATTACATAATTACATGTATAACGCTATAACATTCTACTTATATTTCAGACCCCGGACAAGATAGCCAACCTAATACACCCCCACCTGGAACCCCCGTCCCGACAGACACAATGGTGAAACCAGCTGTTGGAAAATGATGTTATTTCATTATAAAAAAAGCTTTTCAATTAATAAAGACATGCTTTGATTTGATATTGTGGAATTTTAAATAAATAGAGATGAGACAAACAAAAAATTGAATGCCTGGATATGTCTACATTTTGTCCTATTCGAGTTTAAATGTTAAGAATAATGAAGCGCCATGGCTGCCTTATTAAGCCTAGGTCACACTGTCACGGTAATAGATAATAGACACGGATTGCAACGGTTCACCCTGATTTTATAAACCGTAGGAAATCGTGATGCTAATACAATTTTTTGGCGCGAAAAACAAATGAAACGGTTGTTTCAAGATTATTGAACGGTTCAACAAGGTTTGGACACGGTTTCATTGAGGAACAGGCTTTTCACGCCACGGACACTGTTACGGGCAACCACGGTATCCCGTAGTGATACCTTATAATGCGACGGTCTCACTAGTGATTGCTAAGCTACAGTTACGGCCAATCATGTTAATGCTATGTACAGCCCCAGTCACACTGTCAGGATTTTAGATCACGGTAAGCTACGATTTAGGGATCCGTGAAAATTCTTAGACATCCGCAGTCAGTCCATTATTATTACCGTGATGAGCCCTGTTAACTCAGATTACTCCTGAATGATCCGTAAATTGCTACGACTGTTTTGAACTGTTCAAAAAAGTCGTGGAAAACCGCGATGAAACTTCATTTCTTGTACAGTGTATATCGTAGATAACCCGTACTGTTTGCCTAGAGTTACCGTGGTACCACCGACTTTCGTGATGTATCGGGGTTATCCGTGATACGTAAGTCTATGCTCACTCAAGGATTTCGACGAATGCAGTAGGGAAAATATACGATTATACAAGATAAGCCGTATCTAACCGTAAACCCCGTAAGTTTTGTCTCGGTAGTAGTAGGAAAGCGACAAGGAAACAATACAGAGACTCACGAATAATAGCGGCGAACCGTTTTTTCTTACGTTGAAATTACGGCAGCAGTAAGGGTTTTGACGTCTTATCACGTGTTTTAACGGCAATTTCAGGATTGGATACGATAGCTTACGATCTTTCAGTTATTCTTTAAACATTTTTGTCACAATTTTTGCTTGTCATTATTATCTGTTGTTCATGACTGTACACATGACCATGAGCACAGGATTCGGCTTCTAAATATGCACCCATAGTTAAACAGACAGAAAGCACAGAACTACATTGTTGTGACACATGTTTTTTTATACCAGGGAAGACGGAAGAAGGAAAAGAAAGTTGAAAATAGTTTGGGTATGACGAGTTAAAACTGATATAACCTTACTGTTGGCTGTCAAACCATATGTATTGTATCAATGCGCTTTAATTGGTGACAAACATGAAGCAGTTTCTATGAAAGTATTAGGAAGGATTACCTGCAACACATTCAATCCCAGCTAATGAAAACAAAAAGGTCTCACTTGTACTTTCAGATGACCTTATTGCCTTTTCCGTTATTTCCCGATCAAATTAAGGAGCGCAAGGCGGATGTGACCGGTCGCTGGGGGCTGTTCCCTCCACCTTGGCACCTGATTCCACCTCTGATATTTTAGAGGTCCGTGTTTGCTTTATGTTTGAATGGACTTTTGAGATTGAAAACTGTTCATTATCTCCAAATCTTTCATCCGTAACATCATTTCTAGATTCTTGAGAAATTACCAAATTTTGGTTCAGGCAAATGATACTTAGTACTGATAACACCCTTCCAACTGGCCGCCAGTTAAATCTAAACCGAGTATATATCAGGACCTTAGACACTCAATTACAGGAAGTGTGTCTTGGCAACGTAACTAAATTTGAATAAATCACAAAAATATTGAATGAGAACACGTCGACTTTAATTGTAAAAGTGAATATACTAAAATGTTAAATATAGAATAGATCTAGAAATATTGAATAAATTTCCATATCTTTTAACACATCTGCATGTATTTCTCATACATAACAGTTATCTGAAAATACTCGTGAGTCAACTTTTATACGGATTTTAAAAAAAAAGAACGAGCCACTTGTATTTTAAAATAAGAAAATCTTCTTCATTCGTGGCATTCTCGTACAAGAGCCGTGGGGCGTTTTAGCATTAACTTGATTGGCCGTAACCGTAGCTTAGCAATCACTAGTGAGACCGTCGCATTATAAGGTATAACTAAGGGATACCGTGGTTGCCCGTAACAGTGTCCGTGGCGTGAATAGCACGTTCCTTAATGAAACCGTGCCAAACCTTGTTGAACCGTTCAATAATCTTGAAACAATCGTTTCATTTGTTTTTCGCGCCAAAAAATCGTATTAGCCTCACGATGTATTACGGTTTATAAAATCGGGGTGAACCGTTGCAATCCGTGTCTATTACCGTGACAGTGTGACCTAGGCTTACAACGCCCCACGGCTCTTGTACGAGAATGCCACGAATGAAGAAGATTTTTAAGACGTGTTACGTCTAAGCAGGTAAAAGACATTGCGAAAACGTAATCGTCATTAAGATCTACGAAAGCCCAGAGGGCTCATTCGAGATTCGAGTTTCCAAATACGAGATTCGAAATTCGAGATTCAAAATTCGAGTTTCGAGATTCAAGATCCAAACGAACCAATCAAAAGCGGGTTCAACATTTGATTACTCCCCTTTATTATGTTTTTACTATCAAGAAATAATTCAATATAATTATATCAAATGGGTCATTTGATTAAATTACAGTGCAAGAAAAAGTGTTATATATATTAGACGTAAATTTAAATAATTAATGGATTTTTGATCAGCAAAAAATATATCAATTTATATTATAGATTCTTAAATATTACGTTTGTAATAGATTACTTATATCAGAAATATATATATGTTTGTATCGTCAACTAATTACCGGCCAGGAGGCGGTAGGCTCTATGATATGAAAGTTCGAAGTAGCTGTGCGTTTCTGCGGAGTTAAAACAATTTAAATAAAAAATGTTTAACATTAATATGGTAGTATATTAAAAAGAGCGTCTTAAGGTTAAAGAAGAATACACCATAAACATGAGCTTAGACATTTTTGAGGTGCGGAGAAAATTAGGACATGTGTTGGGCGTAGTCTAAAGCAAAGACCGCGTTATGTATATTACGCAATTTTACTTTCTCTATTCAAACGGGATTTGTTGTACGTATTTATTTTAAAATGACGTGTACATATGTACATATATAAACATTTTGAAACATATGTTTAAATGTTAATTCATTAAAAGACTTAGCAGGCTACAGAATATTACAAGAATTGGCCCTTAGCAGACGAGGATAATGCACGTTTTACAATTTGCCAAGAATTTTCCCGCTACAACTCAAAGAGAAGAAATGTAGTGGCGGATCTAGAGGGACCATAAAAGGAACAATTAATTGGTTTGCGGTCGATTTTTGACGCTTGCGTCAATATATGTTTCTTGTCTTAATTTTTAGAAAAACACAGGTACGTGTGGACAAGACCCCCCCCCCCCCACCCCCATCCCCTTGATATTGAACCCCAGGGCTTATTTCTCTGTTATGTGTAACCTTACAATACGAAAAAATCGCTGGCGTAAAACCCCCAGAATAATCGCTCAACCAAAAAAAAAAAAAAAAAAACCAAAACAAAACAAAAAAACAATTTATTACCCCACTTTACAAGAAAGAATGCTGTTTACGGAGAAAATGTGGGATTATTACGTGATAAAGAGTCAGTCCGATAGCATGGACTAAGATAGAAATACATTGTATATTTAGAGACAGTGCAGTGGCGGATCCAGAGGGGGGGGGGGTTACGGGGGTTGCACCCCCCCCTTTGGATTTGCAATTTAAGAGAAAGAGAAATAAGAAAGTTCCAATTTTTTCGTTGTGTTTTTACTATAGGAAATGTAAGGTGAAAGGCTAATGTTGTATTATATAAAGAAATTCGGTTGTAAAAACAAAATAAAAACCCTCCCTTTACAAAATAGGATTTTCAGGTTCGGAGATTTATTTTCCTTTCTTTTTCAAAAACTTTCTGGTAATGTATACAAGTACTTTTTCCCAGATTGATCAACGTCCCACTTTCAAAAACCATACTCCACCCTGTATCGATATTCTATTGAGTTATTTAACTATATGTATGTGTACAACGTACGTTTTAACTGTTTTCGCCTTCAACCCCCGCTTTTGAAAAATACTTCAACCCCCCCCCCCCCCCCCCCACCCTTTGAAAAATTTCTGGATCTGCGCCTGCAGTGTGAATCGACATTTAAAGTTAAAACAAAACAAATGCATTTAATACCAGAGGGGGTACAACGTAAACAGACTGGAGTGGCATATCTTTCTCTTATAATGTATAGTGGGTATTTAGGGGGATGTTGAGCGATTATTCTGGGGATTTTACATTTTTTTGTTATTGTATACATGATGAATAAGTTAAATAATAAGCCCTTGGGTTGAATATAAAGAGAGTGTGCCGCGGGGGGGGGGGGGGGGGAGGGGGGGTCCCACCCACAAGTACCTGTAGTTTTCCTAACAGAAGAAATTCATAAAAATGACGCTTAGTAGACAATTCAAAAATGTATATACTCCTGATATATGAAATCTATTTAATATTTAATAATCTATAATATAAATTAAAATATTTTTTGCTGATCAAAATTCCATTAATTATTTAAATTTCCTTCTAATATATATAACACTTTTTCTTGCTTTGTAATTTAATCAAATGAACCATTTGATATAATTATATTGAACTATTTCTTGATAGTAAAAACATAATAAAGGGAAGTAATCAAATGTTGAACCCGCTTTTGATTGGTTCGTTTGGATCTTGAATCTCGAAACTCGAATTTTGAATCTCGAATTTCGAATTTTGAATCTCGAATTTCGAATCTCGTATTTGGAAACTCGAATCTCGAATGAGCCTTCTGGGCTTTCGTAAAGATCTCTGTACATGGACGCCATCAATAACATTGTACAAAAATACCTAATATATAAAGAGGAATCATTGAGAAATCAAATGTTACAATTCCATTTCATTTCTTATTTTAAAATACAAGTGGCTCGTTCTTATTTTTTAAATCCTTAT